GTATGTGTAGCCAAATGTATGTGTGATTTAGAGTTGGTAATTAACCATTCATTGAATTTACTTCACTTATAGAGGTTATGTTTCTAGTGACACATTTTGACACAAAGTCTACATTATTTATGTGCTAAATTTGTGGAGGTTCTTATCTGTGACGTTTGCACCAAAATTGCATGCATTCTGCTCACCGCTGTAAAACAGCACTCTCTATAAACGTTCTGAGCTGTGTTACGGCTCACTTGTCAGGCACATTCATTTTGTTGAATTTGGCACAAAGGGTAACAGAAAACAGAGAGAACTTTAAGATGGACATAAAGAGAAGATTAACAAACAGAACTGAAAGAGGGAAGTGTACAACTCTAAGTGTTATGGGCCTTAATTTGGCCAAGGAATCGGGGGAATCCCAGCTCATATATGGAGTGGAATTTTCATTAGTCAGTTTAAATGAATTCACCCAAGGCTATACATACTCTTAGCTTCCACCTACATTAAAAATCTTTCTATTTATACAGACTTTATTGTAATGGTTATGAAATCCATGGAATGTGGTGGGAATAGTGATGAACCTGGATGGGACGTGGCTTAGATAGAAAAAGTGTTGTGTCTCCCCTAAGAGATCAGATGTTCTAGATCAGAGGCTTGGTGGTTCTCAGACTGGTCATGTCCACCTGTTGTTCTTGATTTAGGAATTACCCGAACCTTTTCCAGCACAGAGATCAATAGACCTTGGACCTTGTGGACTGATTTGGGAAGTGATGCACTAAGTATTTACTTAGATGTTCTACAGAGAATTCGTATAAATATCAGCATCTCACATCAAGTTGCTCTTAACAGACCCAACACTGCCGCGTGGCCTGGGACTTCTCTTTGTATTAGAGTCTTAGTAAATCCCGAGATCCCAGCCATTTCATATAATTGATAGCTTTCTAATCTGAAAACATTACAAGTGGAGGCATTGCAGTCTGAGCAAGGTAACGTGATCCTCAGATCAATACTGGAATTTAATTCCACCAGAGGAACATGGCTGTACAAAGGAAGAGGATGGTAAATAACAAGATAATAAATAGGAAATGTTTAACTCTTTCTTTGGTCAGGAAGGAAAGTATTCAGTTCATGAAAGAGGAATATTGTCTCTTAAAACGTAATAATAATAAGATAACGCAATTGAGGGGGCCTCCAACCACATCCCTCAAGCTGAATTTCTCATAATTCTCTGCTATGGTTAGAGATATACTGGAGGGAGATCTTATGTAAAAGGGACAGCATATGATGGAAATGGGTGAAATCACCCCAAAATATGTCATGGGTCATGGCAGGTAAACAAGCAATGCTAGCCTTTAACCCGTTAAGGACCAAACTTCTGGAATAAAAGGGGATCATGACATGTCACACATGTCATGTGTCCTTAAGGGGTTATAGGCAGGAATTTTGAAGTATCAGATAAGTGGAGAAAGGTCCAATAACTTCCATCGATGGAGACACTGGGTGAAACCTGGTAAGATTGGAGATATGGTTATAGGTCCATAGTGGGCACCCTGTAGCTTCCCTTCTTCTAATCAACTACAGCAACCATGATCGTCCATTCCAAAGGACAATGATTTGTGATCAAGGCGTCAGAATTTCCATTAAAATGAAAATATCTCTGTCTGTATTGATTGCTGAGTGTCACCTGCCGACAAGCAGGAGACGGTGACAGAATGTCATCTTAAAGAAAAACACGTACTAAATAAAAATAGAAAGTGTCTCTTGACAAATATGTAAAACAAAAACAAATCACAGGATTGTGTAAAATTAGCTTTCATTAAACGAAGAATAAAAAAATACCCTGTGGCCATAGACCTCATTACTTTTATAATCCCAGTGAATTATAAATGGTTATTATTGGCGTGTGATATTGAGTGGAACGACGGCCATTCTCTACGTTCAATAAAACGAAACAGTGTACAATGTATATCCTTCCGAGCACAAGGTAAGTACTTTATTATCGAATAACTTAATGTGACCTTATTTTTTACTCATCTCAACCGACTGCGCATGACTAAATTCTGCATGGTCTGAGGTGACAAAGGGACACACTAACCACCATAACCACTGTAGCTCACTGTAGAGGTTATGCGGCAATATTACTCCCAGCGTTGTTGGGTCATTGCTAATCACAGTTGGAATGGTACAGCAGACGTTCACAGTGATACTCAAATGGCCAGAATCTAGGCACCAGGAGAGCCATGTTTTCTGTCAAATTGCTGCCGTATGTTGTTGTGGTTAAGGTGCTCAGAATGCAAACTGAATGTCATACTTTAAGGACACCAGGCTCACAGACAGGCTCTCAGCTGGCCCCCAGTGTATAGCGCCCTGCGAAGTGCTCTCTCGGTCTGACAGTGCACTGCACAGCGTGTGCACGTCTAATGAGGTGCATGAGGTCTTTAGATGCGGGACTCCATGGAACAAAACTGAGACAGCAGAACAGGACCCTGAAATCAGGACTGTCCCTTCAAACGGAGGACAGTTGGGAGCCCTGTTTATTTTCTCGTCATTGATGTTTCGAAGGCCTGCCATAAGAATATGAGTGCAATTTTTATCATGACCATTAGAGGTCAGGAGAGTCCCCTTGTTGGAAGTGCTGCGATGTCAGTCTCAAAGTGACCTCTCCTACTTACTTTATGGTGTTAATGGAAACGATCACTCGAGATTCTTTGCCGTCACTCATTAATATTCAGCTCTGTAAGTACAGTCAGGTCCATAAATATTGGGACATCAACACAATTCTAATCTTTTTGGACCTATACACCAACACAATGGGTTTGAAATGAAACAAACAATACTTTTTAGCTTTATCATGCAAATCAGGTGAACGGTGTAGGAATTACAACAGTTTGTATATGTGCCTCCCACTTTTTAAGGGACCAAAAGTAATGGGACAGATTAACAGTCATAAATCAAACTTTCACTTTTTAATACATGGTCGCAAATCCTTTGCAGTCAATTACAGCCTGAAGTCTGGAATGCATAGACATCACCAGATGCTGGGTTTCATCCCTGGTGATGCTCTGCCAGGCCTCTACTGCAACTGTCTTCAGTTCCTGCTTGTTCTTGGGGCATTTTCCCTTCAGTTTTGTCTTCATCAAGTGAAATGCATGCTCAATCGGATTCAGGTCAGGTGATTGACTTGGCCATTGCATAACATTCCACTTCTTTCCCTTAAAAAACTCTTTGGTTGCTTTTGCAGTATGCTTCAGGTCATTGTCCATCTGCAGTTCATTGAGTTCTGAAGCATTTGGCTGAATATGAGCAGATAATATTGCCCGAAACACTTCAGAATTCATCCTGCTGCTTTTGTCAGCAGTCACATCATCAATAAATACAAGAGAACCAGTTCCATTGGCAGCCATACATGCCCACGCCATGACACTACCACCACCATGCTTCACTGATGAGGTGGAATGCTTTGGATCATGAGCAGTTCTTTCCCTTCTCTATACTCTTCTCTTCCCATCACTCTGGTACAAGTTGATCTTGGTCTCATCTGTCCATAGGATGTTGTTCCAGAACTGTGAAGGCTTTTTTAGATGTTGTTTGGCAAACTCTAATCTGGCCTTTCTGTTTTTGAGGCTCACCAATGGTTTACATCTTGTGGTGAACCCTCTGTATTCACTCTGGTGAAGTCTTCTCTTGATTGTTGAGAGTGTTCTTGATCTGGCCAACTGTTGTGAAGGGTGTTTTCTTCACCAAGGAAAGAATTCTTCAGTCATCCACCACAGTTGTTTTCCATGGTCTTCCGGGTCTTTTGGTGTTGCTGAGCTCACCGGTGTGTTCTTTCTTTTTAAGGATGTTCCAAACAGTTGATATGGCCACACCTAATGTTTTTGCTATCTCTCTGATGGGTTTGTTTTGTTTCTTTCAGCCTAACGATGGCTTGCTTCACTGATAGTGACAGCTCTTTGGATCTCATATTGAGAGTTGACAGCAACAGATTCCAAATGCAAATAGCACACTTGAAATGAACTCTGTACCTTTTATTTGCAACTTGTAAATGGGGTAATGAGGGAATAACACACACCTGGCCATGGAACAACTGACCAGCCAATTGTCCCATTACTTTTGGTCCCTTGAAAAGTGGGAGGCACATATACAAACTGTTGTAATTCCTACACCGTTCACCTGATTTGGATGTAAATACCCTCAAATTAAAGTCTGAAAGTCTGCAGTTAAAGCACATCTTGTTCATTTCATTTCAAATCCATTGTGGTGGTGTTTAGAGCCAAAAAGATTAGAATTGTGTCAATGTCCAAAAATTTATGGACCTGACTGTACCTGTGTCGAACAATGAATCAGTTACATATCAAACCTTCTTCACAACTCCCAAAAGAGAAAGAAACAAATCGATATGTCATTCTCCCTGTTCTATAAATGTACAGTGTTGCAGAATATGTTGGCGCTATATAAATAATAATAATAATAATAATAAAATGCTATCTATTTAAACAAGGCCACTGCAAGGGATGGGAGATATATTAAGCATGGACTCAGCTTCTTAGAATGTCTGCATATTATTGTAAAATAAAGCTCACATATCATCAATGCTGCGATCTCAAAGAAAGGGTAATAACCTCCTCGAGCAGCCTTAGCGCAGCAGAAAAAAGAGAAACGCATCAAACAACAAGCCATGACCTGGGTAATTTGGTAATTAAAGACAATAAAGACCATTTCTGCCATGGTCACCGCCTTGAGGTTTGGTGATGTCGGCAATGTTGGTATCTCAGATCTCTCAGCCGTCCTAAATTTGGTGGGAAAGTCTTAATTATAGAGTCCTGTCCCACCGTCCCGGGTACAAGTTCTCTATCCTGTGCTTTCCTGGCATTTACAATGATCTACAAAGCCAAGGGAGCAGGTATGGTGAGAACATTGAGAGGCACTGAGACAGCAGGACATTAAACCATAGGAGTCTATATAACAGCTATAGAATGATGGTCTTTATTTACCACATAAAAGTGTCATATTATTCACTTGGCACCCAAACTCTACCCAACCCCTGGTCCCGTTACTCCAAATATTCTTCCCTGGCAATTAATTTCTCTCCCTTGGAAGGAACCTCAGTTGGAATCAATATACTCAAAAATAGTTTGACATAGAACTGGGGGCAGTGCTAGCGATACAAAGGCACCATAACCACTGTAGTAGGCCTGAGTTGTTATAGAGCTTAGAGAGCCGCTTTAAAAATGTCTGCCAGGCAAAATAAATCATATTATAGCATTTCACCCCTCACCCCACTGCTGGCCCCTCTTCTAAGGTTTGATAACATTTGCATATACATTCTTGGCAGGTCCGAATCTGTCTGTTATATTTCGATTTGTACTGCTCATATGGGTGGGACCAGTCTGATATGCTTCAGATATGTTCTCTCTGTAATGGCACAGGATGAGCTACAACCAGCTTGAGTTCTGAGCAGGTACCCACCGAAGGGCAGGCTAATTGAGCTGTTGTCCGTTCTCACCTCTCTTGCTACCTGTTTTTCTTTTCTGTTATATTTCTAACATCAATAAAATGAACTCCATTGAGTTTCGAAATCATAGCATCTTTATTTCAGGAGAGAAAAACTTGTTATATTCCTCCTGCTAAAATATAGAGTGATGAAGAGTATCTTGTCCTTTATACATTGTTCCTTCATCTCTGGGTAATTGGCTATTCGAATGTAAGAACGCCATCGTTGACCTGCAGTGACCAAGCGCTTGCATCATGAATTGAAGTTCCATGCCAGACTCACAGATGTTTAGCCCAGAAAAGCAATATTTGTAGCCTAATGAAAATTTCCCTTTCAACTTTTACAGGGCTGAATATTTGTAACGTGTCCCAGTCCTGTCTTTGGAATACAAGGGGTTAATTGTCCATCCTCCACCTATCGACCCACCATAGGAACTTCGTGCCGTTCACAGCAAGTATCCCAGCGGTTTCCTGTTGCTGGGAAGAATCGTAACACAATAGGATCAAAGATTTCGGAAATGTAAAAAAAAAAAAAACTAGGAGCAGATTCTCTATAGAGTGAAATGATCAGCGGTACAGTCTTAGAATAATTCTACTGGGAACATTACACTTTCTTCATGTTTGTAATCCATTAAAAACCATCCCAGGGAGATGTTCTACTCGCTGATTCAATATTCTAGAAATATCATTGTTTGTTTGTAATTTGATCTGATCTAAATTGTAATATCATTTTTAAATTCCAAATTTTATTTACATTCTTAAATGTGTTCATCCTTTATTTATTTCAGTTGTTTGTAGTAAAATATAAACCCAGCCAGTATTGCTGTCTGTCGATATCTCAATGTCAGGACGCAGATCAGTACAGGTGACAGACAAGCATGTGTGTGTTAGCTAGTGTGTATGCATCTGTTCGTGAGTGTGTGTGTGTGTTAGCTAGTGTGTATGCATCTGTTCGTGAGAGTGTGTGTGTGTATCTTCAGCACTTACCTATCTCCCCGCCCCGATCCGCCTCTCAGCTCCGAATGTGCATTACTCAATGCTTTCCTATGGACGTCCAGCGTCTGATTTTCACAGTGAGAATCGCGGAAGCTCCTCTAGCGGCTGTCAATGAGACAGCCACTAGAGGCTGGTTTAACCCTCAGTGAAACATAGCAGTTTCTCTGAAACTGCTATGTTTTCAGCTGCAGGGTTAAAACTAGAGGGACCTGGCACCCAGACCACTTCATTGAGCTGATGTGCTCTGGGTGTCTGGAGTGGTCCTTTAAGTGTATGTGTATCTGCATGCACTGGTGTACATACCGTGGTCGCAGGGGTCGCAACCCTGCGACCCCTGCAACCAGGTGCCTGCTGCCATGGGTTGAGCGGGGGGGGCACGGATCAGTTTTCGCACCGGGGCCCCATGGGTTGTGTGTACGCCACTGCATCGAGAGGAACAGACTAAGAATTAGATTTGCGCACAGCAATATAAACTAAACTGAAAAACAAAAAACATTTCAATACGGCTGAATTTGGACAGCTAGTATCAATTCCAATCAGGTACTGCCCCCTGCTGTCATTTAGTGCCCCCTGCTAACAGGTACTGCCTCCTGCTTTCAGGTACTGCCCCATGCTATCAGGTACTGCCCCATGCTAACAGGTACTGCCTCCTGCTTTCAGGTACTGCCCCCTGCTAACAGGTACTGCCTCCTGCTTTCAGGTACTGACCCATGCTATCAGGTACTGCCCCCTGCTAACAGGTACTGCCTCCTGCTTTCAGGTACTGCCCCATGCTATCAGGTACTGCCCCCTGCTAACAGGTACTGCCCCCTGCTTTCAGGTACTGCCCCCTGCTAACAGGTACTGCCTCCTGCTTTCAGGTACTGCCCCATGCTATCAGGTACTGCTCCATGCTATCAGGTAGTACCATATGCTGTCAGGCACTGTCCCTGCTATGATTTACTGCCCTCTACTATCAGGTACTGCCCCCTGCTGTCATTTACTGCCCCATGCTATCAGGTATTGCCCCATGCTATTATTTACTGCCTTCTGCTTTCAGGTACTGCCCCTTGCTGTCATTTACTGCCCACATGCTTTCAGGTACTGCCCCTTGCTGTCAGGTACTGCCCTGTGACAAATGTGTGTCATTGCAGAGAGTGCAATAACATGTGCTTTATTTTACCAAACTGGCAACACTAGAAGATCTTTCTAAAATAATCATTTTTACAAGATTAAGGTGTCTAAACTCCATGCATTGAATACCAGTCTCCAGACCGAGAGGGGGTTTCTGCTTTCTGTACTGTGTGTTATTGTTTTATTTGTACTGCGTGTTATTCGTATTGGATGTTCTCTGTAATGCGTGTTCTCCTTACTGGGGGTTCTGTGTATTGCGTGTTCTGAGTACTGCGTGGTCACCATACAGCGTATTATTTGTACTGCATGTTATTTGTACTGCATGTTGTTCTTTTGGCATTTTGTTCATGCTGCGTGTTGTTCATACTGCTTGTTGTTCATACCACGCGTTGTTCGTTTGGCGTGTTGTTCGTTTGGCATGTTGTTCGTACTGCATGTTTTTCATCCTGCGTGTTGTTCATACTGCTTGTTGTTCATACTGCGTGTTGTTCATCCTACGTTTTGTTCATACTGCATGTTGTCCATACCACGCATTGTTCGTTTGGCGTGTTGTTTGTACTGCATGTTGTTCATACTGTGCATTGTTTGTTTGGCGCGTTGTTCTTACTGCGTGTTGTTCATTCAGTATATTGTTCATACTGCATGTTGTTCATACTGCGTGTTGTTCATACTGCGTGTTGTTCGTACCACGTGTTGTATTCATACTGTGTGTTGTTCGTACCACGTGTTGTATTCATACTGTGTGTTGTTCGTTCAGCGTGTTGTTCGTACTGCGTATTCTCCGTACTGTGTTGGTGATTTCGAGAAACCAGTTTGATACATCTATTCTCCATTTTTGACCTTTACGATGGCTTTAGAATATTATGTTTATATTGCTGCTCACTTTTCTGGTTTATTTCTGCAGGATCAAGCACTACGTCAGCGCAAGTAAAACAGGTTTATCATCAACGAAGCGCAAAGATCTCCAACATTACTGGAAACTACCATTCATTGTCCATTTTGTAGAGGACACGGGCTGTGATCACCTTAGTGTCACTGTGTATCTGTCTACCATCAATATATCCATCTATCATTGCCTCCCGTTCAGGCTCTCAGTCCTATATAATGACCAGGGCAACGTTTACAGAACATCACAAATGTCTCCTACAGTTGTTCTGCAATTAAGCTAAGTTTATTGATGGGTGTATAAATTTACTTTTAATGAAATTATTTCTTAAACTGACTAATCTCCAATCCATTCTCAGCACACTTTATGGCCATTTGTAATGTAAGGCGGCAGTTCCCGCCTCCTTCCATACTTTATGGCCATGTATAATGTATGGCGAATGTCCCACCTCCTGCGATACTTTATCGCCATGTATAATGTAAGGAGGAAGGTCCCGCCTCCTGCGATACATTATGGCCATGTATAATGTATGGAGGAAGGTCCCGCCTCCTGCAACACTTTATGGCCATGTATAATGTATGGGGGAAGGTTCCACCTCCTGCGATTCTTTATTGCCATTTGTAATGTAAGGCGGAAGGTCCTGCCTCCTGCGATACAGTATGGTCATGTATAATGTATGGGGGAAGGTCCCGCCTCCTGCGATACTTTATTGCCATGTATATTGTATGGGGGAAGGTTCCACCTCCTGCGATTCTTTATTGCCATTTGTAATGTAAGGCGGAAGGTCCTGCCTCCTGCGATACAGTATGGCCATGTATAATGTATGGGGGAAGGTCCCGCCTCCTGCGATACTTTATGGCCATGTATAATGTATGGGGGAAGGTTCCGCCTCCTGCAATACTTTATTGCCATGTATAATGTATGGGGGAAGGTTGCTGTCACAAACCTGACATTGACAGTTTCCTGGTGGCTACAATGATCATTTTGTGGCTATTTTGGTTGTTCCGTATCACCATGGGTCCAGCTCTTCTCCTCCATGGAAGAGATACCGTACCACAGAACTGATTAGAGAATCCATAGATACATAAAAGATAATACAGAACATGTCTCTAGTTTATTTATATACTATGAGTGAAGAAGGTACTGAGTTACCCATAAAGCTTACACTTTAATTTTAAACAGTGTTACCTTTCTCATCTAATTTTCACATCTCATCTACACTTATTTACTTTTCCTGCAAAGATTCACCTGTGAGTTGACGTGCTGCTTGTTACAAAATTACTGTCCCAGTTGGATGAGAATTCAAACAAAAGGTCCAAATTTTCACTGCACACAGTGTATTATAACTGCAGCTATAAGGTTATGGTGTAAGGAGGTCCCCTGTCTCCCCGCACACAGTGTATTATAACTGCAGCTATAAGGTTATGGTGTAAGGAGGTCCCCTGTCTCCCCGCACACAGTGTATTATAACTGCAGCTATAAGGTTATGGTGTAAGGAGGTCCCCTGTCTCCCCGCACACAGTGCATTATAACTGCAGCTATAAGGTTATGGTGTAAGGAGGTCCCCTGTCTCCCCGCACACAGTGTATTATAACTGCAGCTATAAGGTTATGGTGTAAGGAGGTCCCCTGTCTCCCCGCACACAGTGTATTATAACTGCAGCTATAAGGTTATGGTGTAAGGAGGTCCCCTGTCTCCCCGCACACAGTGTATTATAACTGCAGCTATAAGGTTATGGTGTAAGGAGG